AAATAATTAAAGATAAAATAAATTTAAAAAGAGAAAAATAGTAGTGGTAAGAAGGCTTTGGGCCGGAGCCTCGACATAGCTTAGATTAGGATATTGTCTGTAACCATTCCTAACTTGTAATTTTAAGCCCAAACAAAACCCAAAGCCGTGAAGAAGGCCGTCTGAAATCTTCATAATAAAATCAAATCTCATTGATGTATGTTACTCTCTTCATTCATTTGATTGCAAGGTTCAGTTTCCTTTCGTCTTTAGATTCTCTTTCTGGTCACCCTCTCAGCTCTTTCAATCTCTCGCCATGTACTGTACAAGTCTCTCTCTTCCTTGCCTTCTTATTATACATCATATTTCTAATTTATCTCCACTCTCTTTTTTATGTGTTCACGTTTCATTTTCTTTTTCTGTTGTTTAGATTCCATTTCTGTGTATCTATTTAATAAAAGTCTTTTTTTCGTTGATTTCTGCTGATGGGTCTTCTGCTATTTGATCCCGGATCCAGATCTGGATCTGGGTTTTGTTAGATCTGCTTTTATTTTGGCTCGGATCTTGATTTCCTTGAAATATTATATGCTACTAGTATTAGATTTCTACAATATCTACTTGTTTTGTTTGCCTAGAGTTATAATTTTATCATTTCATTCGATATGATACGGTGTTCTAGCTGATTCATAGCCTGTGTTTTACTTGTTCTTATCCCGTCAAATAAATTGTTGTTAATGTTATCCGTCACTTCGATTTAGGAAATGACATGCATCTGTCTTATATGAAAATTGCGGGATGGTTTCTATTATATGTCAAATATTATTTTGTTCCATTTTCCATTTTGTTTATTGGTCAAATAAGCTGGGATGGATCTTCTCTTATGTTCTTTTCCCCCTCAGCCATAATACAAGGATGGGGCTTTCTTTTGCTAAGTTGTTCAGTCGCCTGTTTGCCAAGAAAGAGATGCGAATTCTTATGGTGGGTCTTGATGCTGCTGGTAAGACTACCATATTGTACAAGCTGAAGCTCGGAGAGATTGTCACCACCATTCCCACAATCGGTGTGTTCTTAGTGTTGAATTTTCTTCAAGTACTATGTTTTTTTTTCTGTTTATAGATATCAATACTTATTGCTAACTCACCCAGGGTTTAATGTGGAGACTGTGGAATATAAGAACATTAGCTTTACTGTTTGGGATGTTGGTGGTCAGGACAAGGTAATACAACAGGAACTCAAAAAATGTTGCGGATTTAACCATAAATACCAATATTTTACCATTCATTGTTTTCTCGGGTCTTACTGCTTGATGGAACATGTCATTTTGCCATTTATTCAACTGTATAATAATCTTGCTGTTTCAACTGTTTGATGTGCTAATGGACAGTCTTATGCTAATGGCATAATCCATCACCAGCATATAAGATAATCATGAGCTACATCTACTACTGCCACCTTGTCTCTCTAGTTTATCCTTTGGTGTTATGAGGACAGCCTATATGTGTTGTGGCTGACACATTATTTGGCTTCTTGCCTTTATTGTATTTTCTATCTGGTGTGCTTATGGACGGTCCTGTTCTGGTTAGATTGCCATTCGTCAGCACAAAACATATTCATAAGCTATATGAATTGCTTCTGCCTTATTGATATCCTCTTCACTGGATGAGGAAGGCTATTTATTTCATGAGAAACATAACATGCTTATTTGTGTATTTTACTTGCAATTTTGTTTAATTTTCATTTGTTTGCTGGGATTTTATATTCCTACATCAACACAGTAGAAAACTGTTTGATATATTGATTTATTTGTGAATATTAATAGAAGGCTTTGATTTTTTTACTGCATGAGTATGTTGTTTTATTTTATCCAATGCATTATGATTGCAGATGATTTTGAGTGCATATGGACGGTCTTGTGCTATATTTACTTGTGCTATCTTGTATTCCAAGTTTTTCCTTTGGCTATAAGATGGAGGCTATCTGCATCATGGCATATATATAACAATGCTTATGTATTTGTTTATCTATATATTGTTACCTCTATTCATTCAAACTTGTTTAGTTCTAACTACAATGTTTATGAAAGTGCTTCTTTTTAATTACCTATATGAATCGTGTTGATGATTTGCCGAACTGTGCAAATTGTGATTAATGCCAAGCTAAATCTGTCTTCAGGAACAATTCTATATTCAATATATAGTGCAACCAACAATATTTCTTCATTGTAATCATGTACAGTTTTTTTTATTTCCTGAAAATTGCTGCCTGCTTTTCTCTGGTTGTTGCATTTACCCATTCTTCAAATTAAGAGTGAAATATCTGAAGTTTGATAGCTCGTCATATTCTGATCGCTTTTATGGGCACTTCCAGATCCGACCATTGTGGAGGCACTACTTCCAAAATACCCAGGGGCTGATCTTTGTTGTTGATAGCAATGATCGTGATCGTGTGGTTGAGGCCAGGGATGAGCTTCACCGTATGCTAAATGAGGTGCCATTTTGCTTCTTTGCACTTTATTGGTTTTGTTTGCTCTATTTAGGTGAAACTTCCATTAATGAGAGAAGAGAAGAGAAACTATATGGCTCTATTGGTTTTGTTTCTTATAATGTGTAGGATGAGCTGAGGGATGCTGTGCTGCTTGTATTTGCAAACAAGCAAGATTTACCAAATGCTATGAATGCTGCTGAGATCACTGATAAGCTTGGCCTTCATTCCCTCCGTCAGCGCCACTGGTACTTTATAATCAACTTGTTCCCTTTTTGTTTATTTCCAGATTGATCCGTTTTGTTCTGAAGAATCTCTTCTATTTTTTGAAAGAATTTGATGATTTATTATCTTTGGGAACCACAGGTATATCCAGAGTACATGTGCTACCTCTGGTGAAGGGCTGTATGAGGGATTGGACTGGCTCTCCAACAACATAGCTAGCAAGGTAGGTTCAGTCTGATTTGTGAGCCCGTTGTTGATATGGTTCTTGTCTAATTCATGCTTCTGTTCATTCTATTTTTTACAGGCTTGAGATGGATCAGTGACATGCACATCTGGGGCATCAATCTTTGTGGATTTTGAATTTGAATATGTATATTTTTTATTTTTTATAATGAGATGTTCGGGTATTGGGTTTTTCTTTTACAAGAAATGTACCGAGATTGTGTTAGAAACGGGCATTTTGACTGCCTGCCTGTCTGCCTGCTTTGTAGATGGAATCCATTGTTCTCAGAGTTTGTCTGACGTTTCTTAGTAACATTTTATGAATTCCCAATTATGGTCGCTAGCTCAGAAAGCTGCAAGTGCGCTGTCTGTTCTGGCTTTCAATTGTTGCAACTTTCATTCTCGATCTTCCGTTTCATTTGTTTAGTTAAACGAAATGCAAATGTTCTACTTTCATCATGCATAAGTGTGAGATTAGTCACGTAGATATAGAACACATCACAACTAAAATTCGTTTCCAATATGATGTACAAGGTATGGAAAATCACATGAATCAGAGAGTGACATGTCATGTATGGAATTTTTCACTTTCTGTGGAAGATCCTTTTTTAGGATTGATTGTGATTCAATTCTTGGATAGGCGACGTTAAGTTTTTAATGCTAGTTGATTAAAATAGAAAAAAAAATAGTATCAGTGAGAATTTTGTGAAAAAAAAGATATAATTTGGTGATTAAAGTAAAAAGGAGGTAATAGTTAGTTCGGTGATTATTTACCCTGTAAGTTAAAATTGTCAGGCGATTCATTTGTTTCATTTCTAAGTTGTAAGAACCATTCCTTTTAAGCATCTCTTATGTTATGTAGCCTTCTCTGTATGGGGTAAATGAAACGAGATTAAACGAATAAATAAGGTTGTTCATGTTCGTTTATTTATTTTTTGAAGGTATTCATATTAGTTTAATTTTTTTAGTATCGTGTTCGTATTTGGTTATTTTTTTCGAAGGTGTTCGTTTTAGTTTATTTAATGTTTGCGAATTCATTTAAATGTTCGCGAATATGTTTGTTTAGTGTTCGTGAACATGTTCGTTTATTGTTCGCAAACATTTCGTTTAACGTTAGTTTATCTTTCGCGAACATGTTCGTTTAGAATAAAAGAGAAAAGAGAGCGATGGGAAAAGTTTTTTTTTGTTCCAATAAAGAAAATGATAAAACTACACAACTAATGTTTATACTTCTTAGGATTCATAGTTTAAACTTTGAATTTCGTCATATATTCAATTTAGTATGTAATTTCACTAATATTCAAAATATAAAAAAAAAATAGACAATGAGCTTATAAACAAGCTTGTTCGTGAACATAAACGAACTGAATATACATCTATTTGTGTTCGTTAATTTATTAATTGAATATAAAAATTTTGTTCATACTCATTTGTTTAACTTAATAAATAAACGAACATTATACGAATAGTTCAGGAACAGTTCACCCGACACTCTTATCATCTACATATCTCTTCATCAACTGTTGGGATTTTGAAACGAACACCGGCAACTAACTAAACCAGTTTCTGCAGATTGTGTTTCTTGAAGTTCTTAAAGCTTCTTTGAAGTGCACATGGAGGCCGTTGGGTAGTTGGTCACCACAACCACTCGTCGGCCCCGCTTCTGTCTCGCATCAGTTGTCTTTTTTCTCTAGCGTAAAGAGTGGATTAATAATGTTTGCGTTATTGCCCTCATCCTGCTGATGGTGTCAATGGTGTCGGCCCATTTTGTTGGTTTTGTTAGCTTTAAGCCTCTGTTGCTTATATCGTTCCTTCGTTTGTCTATTTTAAGTAAGCTAAATCGGTGTGTTTGTTTTCATGTTTTTTTATTGAAAAATATAACGTTTCTTCTCTCCTTGCAAATACTAAGACTGTTTGTATGATGCTAAACAACGTTATAGAAAACATCCACTTTTATATAAAATTCAAGACGTTTATAAATACAACTAAATAAAGAATCCATAAGGCCAGCATATAATAGTCCTTATGTACATGTCTGTCCCTTTAAAAAATGTAAGGACAGATCAAATACAAACTAGAAAGAAGAAACTATCACATTTACCCAATTACACTCCCTCAATTGTATATTGTACTATAGTATTGATAATAAATATCCCCACCAAATCAAGGCCACAAACATTAAGCGGCTGATGGGGCGTTAATATAACGAACAACACCAGCTTTTGGCAACGCTGCGAAAAGTTGTTGCAGGCCTGCATGCTCATCCTCATCAGCTTCTGCTTCGCCAGTGGCCACAACATTTTTGTAGTCAAGCGATTCATCATTGTATATATCCCACCATTTTGCCACCAGCATCTTAATATGTTCCATGTCCATGTTTTGTTCTTTGCCGTTATACCTCCATGGTTTGGAGCCAGCCGCACAGTAGTGAACGACCTTGGCCTTTTCTATCTCAATGTTATCCGGGTGGCGCCATAGCATGGCCAGGACCAGGTTGTAAATGGGCGGAATGGGCCTATAAATATCCCTAAAGAACATGTTCAGGTAATCCTGCTCCGCAAAAGGGGTAGGAGGGGTGACTTTGAGAGTGGTCAAGAGGTCCTCGTACACAGATAGGCTGGGTTCATATACAAACATGCCAGCGTTGAAGTAAAGTGGAGGCTTAGGACCGAGCTTGGAAGGCCAGTGGACCTTATCGGGGCACTGCTGGCAGTAGCCAATCTTGTACTGTGGGGTGTGGCTCCAGGTTTTCTCACAGAAGCAATCCATAACAGCATAAAAGTAACCATCCTCCATGTCGAACAAGTGATCAATGTTATCAAACACTTGGATATCTCCATCCAAGTAAATCATCTTGGAATACTCCACAAACTACGGATTGTACAAGTAGATAAAATTAGTATGAAAATGATTCATTTAAACTGAAATTCTCAAATAGAACATGCAAAGATATTGATATTTATTTATACCTCCCAGATACGTAGCTTGGAGTAGTTGATTACATAGTAGGCCATGGCAAACTGGGTCTGGTTCTCAGGTGGATACACAGGCTTGATCTCCTTAAGTATACAACCCTGATCCACAAGTATCTTCCTGTGATCCTCTGGGACGTCGGGCAAATGTGCCACCACAAGTGGATACTTGCTCTTAACCTTCCTGAGTCCCTTGGCTAAACCCATCACGCCCTTCACGTAGTCTCCGTTCCCTGCCAAGAACGTAACGTAAGCCCTTTTGGGAGGGACTGGAGCCTTGGTGACGGTGAGAGTGGCAGCTTTGGTACTGGTGATGTTAGGAGCCATGTTTTGCTTAAATGGTAAAAGGGTAAGCTATGGGTGTTTTTAGTTGAGTGTTTGGTTTGAAGGAAAATGAGTGTTGTTGGAAAAGTGAGATCAGTTGTTGCTTGATGTGGGAGACGGAGGTGGCGAGGTGGTGTTTATATAGCAATCTATAAAACGCGTTGGCCCACCAAAAAGAAAAAAAAGAAAAATTATTTTATTATTTTGTGTTCTAATTGTGAACTCTTCATTAATAAAATACAATTAATTAAATATTTTATGGTATTACTTTTAAAAATATAAAAATACACCTTTCTCAAAATCAATTTTTAATGTTATTAATGTAGACACTTATTTTCGTCCATGTGGCATCTACATGATTTATGCGTTATTATTTATAGTATATGCTATGTGTATTATATTACATAATATACACATACTATATATTATAACTATATGGCATATGTTTATTACTATTAATTTGTTTTTCATTACATGTTGCAGGCTTGAATATTCGGCCCAAGATTATTACAAAGCTACTGGTCCACATGGGACCTGAAATTAGCTTCCCAACGTTGAACCTAAGCTGCCCCAACGCCGCATGCCTTCATCCCAAGCCAACCTCCGTTTTTCACGGCCACACGCTGCCAACTCCGAATCCTTCGGCACAAGGAGAGCACGCCAACGTCACGCAACCACAACAAACAAACAAGTTCAGTGTAGATAGGATTCATAAAAATAGGATCTATTCGCACTATAAATACATGTAATCAAACACTCAGGGGGACCAGGGGCAGCAGATTCGAAATGGAAACGAAAAAAGAAAAATAACTAGGGTGATTCAGGGAAAAACTTACAGTGGAGAAAACCCCGAAAAGAGCCAATAAATTATCACCAATTGTTTGCCTAACCGCGTCAGAAGCCAAATCCTCCACTCTTCTCTCGAACCAGAACCGCCACACGGCCATGAAAACATGCATAAAGGTGCAACCTTTGGCGAAGAACGATTGGGAATCCATGTCCTCAATGAAAGAGACCATGAACAACAAGAACCCGATGACAAACAGGAGCAGACCCGAGAAGGAATCGAAAGTTCGGATCAAGAGCTGGTCGTGCATGGTGGCCTCGGTTTTCCTGATTAGTTTCCTAAATATCTAAGCAAAGAAAGAGGGAGATGGGAAAGTAGATAAACGGCGCAAGGAACAAGGCCTGAATGTAATTTGGTTTTTATTAAACCTATACGCATGGAATAACTTCGGCTTTAAAAGTGGAAAAGTCCAATTTGGTAAATATGGGATAATTACATGTGAAAGGTGCAATCTTTGGTAACATTTTGATTCATCAATTTGTTTTTATTTCATATTATTCCTTCACATTTTTTTCATTTTATTTTGGTCCCTTAAATTTTTAATTATTCATTTTTTTCCTTTGATTCATTTATTAATTTATTTTTATTTTTATTTTTTTTCCTTTTGATTTATTGTTATTATTATTTTATGTTTTTTTCTTTGATTTATTTAATATTTATGTATTGTTTTTAATCTAACATTTTTTTAGAAGAATTCCAACCAAATCAAAGGTAAGTAATTTGAATTGAGTTTTTTTAAATTTAAATTTAAATTTAAATTTTCGCAAATAAAGACAACCGGTAAATTAATTGGTACCGAAAGGACGGTTCAAGGGTGCTAATCCTTCCTTGACCGTAATCGACTCCCGAACCCGACACGTTTCTGGTACAACGCAGATCAGGTAAGATGGTGTCCGACCCACCTAAATTCGTTTTAAAGTGGTCGGTGGCGACTCCAACCCAATTATTTCAAGTCGAAGCCCATTCCGGGGCACAACCGAAAGACGGTTGCGACAATTAAGTTTGGTTTTTATTTTTGCTTTATTTTAAGAAATTCAACAAATCACATTATCATTGACAATTTAAACAATTAATTAAATTTATTAAGGAATAAAATCATACACTACAATCGCATTGTATATATGAAATTGACTTATAGCATTAAATATATAAAATTAATTGCGTCTTATTTGTATGTGTCTCAACACTAATTTCATATGTGAGACTGTTACTAATTTTTATATTTGTTAATATAAGAAATAAATATTTAGCTGTACCGATCAATCTTTTATTGCAAATATCGAATGCAAGGAAGAAAATACACTTATTTTATTCAAAATAAAAAATATCTCAAAGATTTATAATCATAATCGTAAATTAAGCATATAATTGTTGTAATTTTTTATAATCGTTGAAACAAAACTAACAATTTAAGATCACATAAAAATTAGATAAAGAAAGATCAAAATCTAACTAAGAAACTCGAACAATGACAAATACAAACATATTTGATTACATTGGCAAATGAACCACAAAATATAATCAAGCTACTGAAAGACTACGAACAAACCTCAAATCATACTTGAACGGCTTGAAAAGCTATCCACGAACACATAACAGGTATCCAAATCCAATTTAAGGGTCAAAGGCAGGGAAGATCAACAATATAACAGAAAGACGTCATCTTTATTAATCATGGCGATGTCAAATCAATCATTAAAAAATAAGTAAAAAACAATCAAATGACCGAAAAACATGTCAAATGAAAAGTTGTCGTACAGATAAATTTATTGAGTGGTCTCAATGGTAAAAAATATTATTCTTCATAGAGGACTAGAGTTCGAGCAATTACACTAATATGTGTGTACACTATCAATGACTAAGAAAATTATGAATAAATATTAAAATTAAAAATTTAATATATGTGTAATTTACTAATTTATGCTTTTGTATTTAATAAATAAATAATTATTTTTAATTTATTCAAAATGTAACATACAATATTCCCACAAATCATTTTAAGATCTATTCATCGATTAATGATAAATTTCAGGTTATTTTTTTTAATAAAAGTAATGAGATTGATTTCTAACTATAGAGATAGAGATAGTTAGAAATCACTTTATTCAGTTACCAAAAGTTGTTATTTTTTTAATTCAAAATCGTTCTATTTCATTTTGTTATTTTTTTCGTCGTTTTTGTATAAATTGTTTCATTTTTATGTTGGATTAGAATATATAATTATGGACACATATTTATAATATATATCGTTATCATAAAATATGACATAAATTAAGTGGACAATTATGTTATAAAGTTATAAGGTATTAGAAGTGTCATGGAAATAAAAGTATAAATACTATTAAAGTTGTATTTATAACTTGACGAGGTGCAGAGTTATAAATATAGAAAATAATTTATTCTTAAATCAACTATATAAAGGGGTTATAGTCCTTAAGAAATAGACAATCTCATATTTACTTTTATCTCGTCAGAGTATTTATAGTTAAGGAAACTCTATATTTATGGAAGATCACAACAACAAAAAAGATTTAAAGATTTTAACTTATTAATTGATTCATGTATGCTTCTACATCTAATATTTTATTCTTGATATTTTGACATGATTAGATTCTGATTAATTTTTTTTTATATTTATTATAGTTTGATTCTAGCATTTTCCTCTCGTTAGTAGTTATGAAACTAAATTAACAAGCGATAAATTTCTAACATAATATTTTTAGATCCGAAGTAATAATTATTTATTTTATGTTTACAAATTATGATAACCGATATTCTTTCATTTTTTAGAAGCATCCTCTATAAATTTAAATAGTACATAAATCGAAAATATGTAAATCCTATGTTGCCTAGGAAAAATATTAAACTAAATAAATTATAGTATATTTTATAACATAATCTCATAATTTAACACGATACGTGACTTCCTCATGCTAACTTATTTTGATCAACAAAATCAAAACCAAATCATAGTGGCATCATATCAAACGAAAATAAAATAAGATTTCGCTTCATGTTGTTTACAGTTTAACTAACTCCAACCGACAAACAGCACCAGACACACCTGACGCACTGCGATGTCGCCACGTAATTCATTAAAGAAGACTGTCTGATATTGGCTATTTTCCTCAAAAATTACCCTAAACCTATATATTTTCATGTCAGATACCGTTCAAGATATATTTTTTGATCTAACATCATTTGTAGAAAGAGATACACCTCTATACAGTGCTTTACGCCACGTGAGGTAAGACGCGCCCCCTGCAGCGCGCCTAATTAAACATGTAAAAAATTCGAGTGTTAATGTTGTAAATATTTTAAAAGTGATGCTTAATATGTAATTAATTTCTGTTAGGGTGATATTTGTGTAAAAACACCAATTTTTTATCTATTTATTTTTTGATATTATTTTTAACAACATTTAATAATGTTTATTGACTTTTAAAATTAATTGTTTAAAAATATTAAAATAAATTTTTAATTACAATTGATAGATCAAATGAATTATTATTCACTTTTTTAAAAAAATAAATAAAAATGCAATAAAAATGAATTAAAAATAAATAAAATTCAATAAAAATATAATGTAAAGCTAAAAATATCACATCTTTATTTAAAATATTCTTTCTAATATTAATTTTTAAAAAATATAAAATATAAAATAAATATTAAATATTAAATTTTAATTTTAATTTTATTAAAAATGAATAAATATTACTAACTGTTGTTAAAAAATAATAATTAATGACGAGACAAAACAGGTTTTGTGAAGATTGAGTATAAAATATCAACTTTTTGATCGGATGTTTATTCGTGGTACAATTGAGTTGATATTTAGACAACAATTAGACAATTTTAAGTTATTGACTTTGTACGATCGGATTTTCATTCGATTCCTGTAACTTTCCACACCTACGACTGTTTAATAATCATAAACTTGACTAAAATAAACTTTTAATTATAATTGAGGGATCAAATGAATTATTATTTATTTATTAATTATTATTTTTAAAAAAAAGTTAATAATGTTTATTCATTTTTAATAAAATTAAAATTAAAATTTAATATTTATTTTATATTTTTTAAAATTAATATTAGAAAGAATATTTTAAATAAAGAAGTGATATTTTTTAGCTTTACATTATATTTTTATTGAATTTTATTCATTTTCAATTCATTTTTATTGCATTTTTATTTATTTTTTAAAAAAAGTGAATAATAATTAATTTGATCTCTCAATTGTAATTAAAA